AAGCGAGGGCGAGGGGCCGCATGGACCGAGGGAGGAGAGGCGGAACCTAGGGCCAGAGGCGAGGACGAAGCGAGAGGGAGGGGCCTCCTGGGCGATCGAAGGGGGGGGGGGGGATGACCGAAGTCGAATGCTAGCGGCCGCCGCCCATCGTCACACGTGAGTCTTCGCCCCCCCCCCTCGCCCCGCGGATGGTGTAGTTCAGCCGCTTGTGGGCGCATTCTCCGTCCGCGTGGGGGTGGCTCATGTACTTGTGCCTGTGCCCCTGTTACGGGCAGGACGTCCTGGTCACCCTCGCAGTGCCAATTCTGTGCTTGTCGTGGTTCCATCATAGTGCCACCCCTGGTGATCAGCATTCTGTGCTCGTCACGGTTACCATCGTAGTGCCAATCCTGTACTTGTCGTGACGCATCCGCCGCGGGTTGGATGCTCTCACCGATGACCGATGATGTCCCCGATCTCGTTGTAGCTGGTCGTGTGTCCGTCGTTCAGAACAGCCGTGTAGTTGCCGCTGGCCTTCACGCGCGGGTGCCTTCTGAGAATCTGGTGCTCGCCTATCTTCAGGTACCGAATCGTCTTGTCAAGTACGATGGCGGGCGTTGCAGCTTCCAGGGTGGTGAACATAGCCGAGGTTATCATGTACAGAATGTGATTGTCGCGAGTGATGTTGCGCTGCTGTTGTGCGCTGAGTTGCGGGTGTCCCCATGGCTGGTTCGGTGCGCGGCATCGGTTGTCGGCTTGTAATGACTCAAGGTTGGTACCGATGATATGGAGGGCAACGCGCCCGTTCGCCATCTGCTCGTGAGCGCGTTTGTGCATGTCGCCGTAGGTCTCGCTGTCGGGTCGGATGATGTGAAAATCGATGCTGGTACCTTGCAGGGTCACGTGCTGCTGGATGGTGCCAAGGAGATCGTGTGTTGGTGGTGTCCTGCTACGCGTCCTGCTGCGTGTGTTCGTCGCGATGCAGGTCTCGTCGCGGTGGTGGTTGTTCTGTTGGCTGTCGTGTGGGATCCGCGTTGGGATCGGGGCGCCGGGGTCGGGGTCGTTCGATGAAGGGCCCGATTGGTGGTCCGCGAAGCTGAAGTGGCGGTTGCGCAGCGAAGTGTTCAGGGAGGCCAGCAGGTCGATTTTTGCGTCTGATGCGCCTTACTTCCTCTTTGTTGGCTTCCACCTAGTCGGGCTTGGTTCCGAAATTGCTGGCACGCCAAGAGGCCGAGCAAAAGGCGGACGCTTTGACGTGATTGATTAGCCTGGTGGCGGCGTGGTAATACTTCATGCAGATCTGGCAGGTCTCACCGCTGACGATGTTGCTGATGTCGTGGTCGCTTTTGCGGTTCGTGTGCACGTGCTTGTCGCGGCCTGCTTTGTTCTTGAAGGTCCCCCCGCAGTGGCAGCGCATAAGTGATTCGTGGTCGAGCTCTTCGTGTTCGTCGTCACCCTGGCATGATGATGGTAATAGTCCAAGTGATGCCGCAGAGGTCGTGGTAGTTGCCCGCCAAGTGTCGCGTCTAGTCTGCTCCATTTTCTGGTCGTTCGCGCGTTTGTAAGCGTGGGAAAGGGTGGGCTTGAGGTAGCTTCTCGAGCGCGAAAGATACCCGTAATTACCCTTACCTAACCTAGACAGGGTGGCAAGGGGCCGGGGGGGCGGTTCGTCGCAGCTGACGGCGGCTGCGCAAGTGTAGAAACGACAGCCGGTCGAGCATTACAGACCGCTGTCTTCTCGGGGCGCACGTCAGCACCGATCGCACGTGCGTTCGAATCGGCGGAGTGCCCATCCCTGCGTTGGTCGTTGTCGATGTAAACCAGCTACTGCGGAGGCGCGCCCCCAGACGCACATCCCGGCGTTGAGGAGTCAACGCGCACTCGGGGGCGCATGCGAACAACTCTGGCGCGAACGCCAGTGCGCGACAACCGCCCTGTCGCGAATTGCTCGATGCAGAGACATCGCGAATCGGCGCCCTGGGCGAGGTCGCCAGAGGCCGCCCCCCTTGGACGGCCGTCTGCGGATCACCCCAGCTAGGTGCGGTTGCCTCATGAAAACCCCGAAAAACATACCCGTACCTACCCGGGGCGCCGCAGCTCCACCCCAGCTGGGCCCGGGTATGTTTCGGTGGTTTCAGGCAGGTCCCCGTGCCTAGCCGAAGTGGCGGCAGACCCAAAACGCTCTCGAGCACATATCATGCCCGCCAGAACCGTCCCCGACGTGGCCGCTGCGGCCCCCTGGGGGCGCGACATTGCTACGTCGTTCCTTAGGGCAGGCCCAGACGCATTGGTTGCCAGGATAGCGAGGAAATGCAACTCTTCATCGATTGGGACAGGCGCCACCACATATGGGCGGCTTTGAGCCGCGCACGCACCACGATGCCCCGAGACGTCCCCAACAAAAACCAACGCTTGTCGCTGCAATCAGACACCCAAACATCGAGCGCGCCGTTGCGTCTTGACGCGCGGATGCTGCACTGGCGCGCGCGGGGCAAGCTGACCGGGCACAATAGCAAGCGCCCGCTCCCCCGGACGGCCCATCTCACCTTGGCTGGCCCCGGGTACGGGTATCTTTCGGACCAGTGATAGCTGAGGTCGTTCCTGGCCATGCTGACGAGCTCCGCGATGTCTTTGGGTGCTCTGTTCTGCCGGCTGTAGTCGCAGTGGCGGCAATAATGTTGGAGGTCGTTGTTGACTGCAGCCGTCCAAGCCCCGCTTCGCTCTATATCGTAGTCTGCTAGCGCTTGTAATTATGGTGGCATTGGCGTGCGATTCGTATCACTTGTCGTACTCGAAGTCGTCGTAGCCGCTCTTGTAGCGTCGGGAGCCGAGCTTTCTCGAAGATCTGGCCGTTGGTGATGCGGTTGGTGCGCATCTGGTCGTGGGTGATGCCGATGACCTGTCTGGCTGCAGATACGCATGCTAATGTCAGTCGGTTCGTGTCGCGTTGCTTGCTGATGATCCAAGTGCCTGCGTTGAATAGAAGCTTCGAGTATCCAAACGCTTCGAGGTAGTGTACCTTGGCTTTGGTGGTAACTGCTCGTCTTTTGAATAGCGCCTTCCGAAGTGGTCCCGTTGTCTGCCGAAGTGCGATGGTCCGTGCTGCTACTTCCTGCCCGAGGTCGTTCCTGCCGTTGAACATCGCTCCAAGTAGCTTGGTGCTCTTGGTGATGGTGACCGTGAAACCCATGTCGGAGATGCCGCGGCCCTCTTGGATCATGGTGCGCGCGACGCGCTTTCCCATGACGGTGTTGGGGTAGACGATGAAATTTAACTTGTCAGTGTTAATGGGCAGGCCTCTGCTCAAAGTTGATCGAATCAGGTGTCCCTACATGGTTGTGGTGAGGTCGTGGATGTCGTTGCTGTTGTCGGTCGCCGATGCTGCCTTGACGTCGTCGACAAAAGAAGTGGACGACAAGTGCTGAAGGTACCGGCACGACGGCGCCATCCTGTGCAGCGCGTTGGTGGTATTCGCGCGTGACGTCGGCCATGAGCGCGTTGAAGGCGAAGTCCGCGGTCGGCACTCCAGACCTCGTCCCCAGCCTGGGGGCCTCACAGGCGGCGTCCTGGTGTACGAAAGACCACGTCTCTTAGGATGTGCCGGTTGCCCACGTGCCTGTTGACGATTCCGTTGTCGGTCATCAGCTTGGTGATGGCTGGGATCATTGTCTTGGGGATGTCGACGTGGTCGAGGATGTCACTGATCTGCTCTTCGCTGGGTTCCATGCTGTAGACGAACTGGTTGGTCACTTTATGCACGAACTTGAAACCACGGACTTGAAGAAAGCTGTCCTCCTCTATGGTCGAAAGAAGGAGACGAGAGGAGGGGGACCTCCTCCTCCTCCCCCTCCTCCTTCTCCTCCGCTTCCGCCTCCTCCCCCTCCTTCTCCTCTAACTCCTCCTCCTCGCCGTTTCAAACATCAGACAACACACACACACACAGGGAACAAACAAAGAGAAGGGGGAAATGATCCGATCAGTGTTCAGCTAAGCCCGACCAAGGCCCGATGTCAGCTGTAATACCATGGAGCGTTGGATGAAGACCTCGGGCTGTATGCGATTCCGAGGGTGCAGTCTGCAGGCCTCAGATCTGAGGAGTGGTGGGGACCTCCTGGGACTCTTCTGGAGCTCTTTTTGGGTGTTCCCCGGGCCATGTCGGGGCTTTGGATCCTGAGGAGCCCTCCTGAGGCCATCTTATGGCGAGCATGGCGTGAAGTACAAGTGGTGGTGTTGGCGCGTCACGATTTGGAGCTCTCCTAGGGGTCCTCTCCTCTTTGGGCGCTCTTGGAGTCCTCATGCGGGCATCGGGGCCCGCCTGAGGCTATCGAGGCCGTGCTGGAGTCGCCAGAGCCGATCGGAAGCTGGAAAGCAGGCTCCATGGCCCCCTCGGACCGTCTCATGGCGTTTTTTTGGGGGATGAGCTCGAGGGTGGCTCCAGAGGCCCCCAAGCCCGCCCCAAGGGGGCGCCAAGAGGGCCTCCAAGCGGCAGATCTTCGCGCTCCGGCGAGAGAAGGGGGCCTAACGTACGACGCCCCTGTTTTGATCGATGGTCTGGATCGGCCCAGGAAGGCTCCGAAGACTCCATAGAGTGCTCCCAAGGCCTCAGCACGCCGCAGGGGTGTCCCAAGACAGACCCATGCCGCGAATGCCCAGATAGTCAACTCCAGGGCTGTTCGCGCCGCTCGGTGGTCACGCGAAGCTCTGGAGTCCACACCAGCAGGGCCTTCGCAGCGTCCTTTGGGGGGGCCCTTGACCTCCCGTGATCGGGCGGTTGCCATGCCTCTCTGTGTTACCGCACGGTCGTACATAGTAAGGAACCGAACTCTATACACCGACGCGTGTTCCGGGCCTGCTCTGAAACTGGCAAACAATAAAGCGGATCCTGGTGTATGCGGGATCCTGATGTATACATGTATCGCTGTTTCCCAGAGAAAGCGGGGAAACAAATATACACCACACCACCCCGACGTCGTCCTCGATCCTCAAAAAGTCCGGGGATTGAAGAACAGCCCTTCACTGGCAATGCATAGGTTCCAATATCCGACACAGGCTTCCCCGGGAAGAGCAACTCGCCCAGGCGGCCACGTGTAGCTCTTGCACCCTGGACGCCCCCAGGAGGCCGTTGCAGAGATGAGCGGGCGGGCGCTCAGGCGGGCGCCGCAGCGCGCGCACGGCGTGCTCGTCAGCCTGCGGGGAGGCCCGGGGCGGCGGGAGCGGGCACCTCCCGACCTTGAGCAGGGACCGACCATCCCGGCATTCCTATAGTCCTGCCACGAAATGTTCTCAGTACCCAAACATGTTCTAAAAGCAAAACCAATGTTCTTAGAACGTAAGCCCGATGTGTTACAACAAGACAGGCTCAGCCAGAAATGTTCTGAGAACATTTCGTGCAAGCCACACAAAGTTCTTAGAACAGTATTTGGTGGGACTATCAGCGAGCCGGGACGCTTCGCCACTGCTTGACGACCACAAGCCCGGAAGGCCGGCCGTGGGTCCAACTTGCCACTCCCAGCGAGGCTCGGTGGACCCGGGAGCAACGCCGAATGCCATGCTGGGTGCGTCCGTGCTCCCGCAGGAGACGAGGCTGCGGGAGGGCCAGCGGCAGCAGAATCCGCGCAACCGTGCACCTGGAAGAGCCTCACACGGATGCGCAGAAGCACCACGTGCTGAAAGGCCAGTCCGCGCTCCACTCTAACAAGGGAGCGTAGCGCCTCAGCGCCCTGAGAAACTGCTGCTGCTGCGACCTGTCGCGGTTCACCAAGCGCAGCGAAAGAAATCCGTCGAATGTCGGACCACCCTGACAACTGAAAGGAACTCACTTTGCGTGACTCTCGACCAGAACGTGCAGGACTGCCCCTCTCGCCTATAGAGTGCCAAGGCGAATGGGCACGTGTCATCAGGCATCACTCCACATCGGCTTGACCGCTACGCTCGCTGCTTGATGCTTGACTACGTGGGCATTTCCTCACGACCCACGGCTCGAAATGAATGAAAACAAACGGACTTGGCACTGGTGAGCGAACCCCAATCAACTAGACAAGGAGAAACACGATGTGGAACACCATGTGTGTGGAGCCCAGTTTAATTCGTGTGTTTGGGAACATACGTGCGTACCCAATGTGTGTGGACATGTTGAACCCAATGTGTGGGACCAGTGCGTGGGGGGAGCCCTCCGTGTGCGAACGCACACTTGAATGGAATAATTTCTGCGTGTGCGTGGGACCGGATACGACAGATTCCCCAAGCAATTGGTTGCACTTAAGGGGTTCTTACTTCTGGAAGAAGAAAATGGGCGTGGGGGTCGGTCTGGCGGTTATGTCGTCGCCCTCGCCGCCCCGTCGCCGCCCGTCGTCTGGGCCTCGGCCTCGAACTGGCGGCTATGTCGTCGCCGTTGCCATCCCGTCGCCGCCCCGTCGCCGCCTCGTCGGCATGCGCGTCGGTCTTGCGGTCTTCGTCACCGTCGCCGCCGCCTCGCCGCCGCCTGGCATAAATTCTCCTTTCTAAAAGAAACAATGTCAGCCAGCATGCACGCCAAGTAGCGTGTGATTAGCAATACATCTGATGCAGTCTATGTGGAGTAGTCTACGTGGTGCAATTAATCTTGACCGTCTTGAAGCTGTCCTCTCCACTGCTCGTGCAAACATCCCACCCTCCCACCCGCAACTTGGTCGCAAGACCTCTTCAGACAAGACCGTGACGGTAGGTACCACATGGCACTTGGCCACGATACCGATGCCGACGACGACAGCGACATCGGCGACGACGGCGCCGCCGACAGCGACTGCGACGACACCGACGACGTCTCCAATGTTTTCGACGGCGACAACGACGACGACGACACCGACGACGACGACAACGACGCCGACGACGACGACGAAGACGACGACGACGTCGCCAACGGAGACGACGACGAGGGAGGAGAAAAAACGACGACGGCGACAACGACGACAACGACGATGGAGGAGGGAAGACGGCGACGACGCCAACGACGAAGAAGGAGGAAGGACGGCGACGCCGACGACGACAACGACGAGGGAGGAGGGAAGACGACGACGATGACAACGACGACGAAGACGACGACGACGGCGACGAAATGAAAGGACGACGACGAGACGCCGACGACGGACGACGACGACGAGGGAGGAGGATAACGACGAGGGAGGAGTGAAGACCACGACGACGACGACGACGACGACGCGACGAAATAGGAGGGACAACGACGAGACGCCGACGAAGACAACGAGGGAGGAAGGACGACCACGGCGACAACGACGACGGAAACGACGACGACGCCAAGACGACGACAACGACGACGAGGAAAGACAGAAGACGACGACGGCGACGACGACGGCGAGGGAGGAGGGAGAGCGACGACGACGACGACGCAAGAGCGCGCGCGCACGCTTTTGTTGAAAATCCGTGTTGCGAAACCTTAGGTTCTTGTAAGTTTTTTGGACGCACGATTTTGAAATCCTTCTGAAACCGATGGTTTTTGAAGGATTTCGGCATACGCCCGCGACGACGCGCGCGTCTGCACTTCGTCCTATTTTTTGCAGAGGATTCTCGCGACGGCACACGCGCAAGGGCGTTCGACAGATTTCGACATGCGCGCGCGCGAAGCCCGTTTGGTAGCATTTTGTGAAAATCTTGGAAAACCTATGGTTTTCTTAAGATTTCGCAAGACCTCACGCGGAAGTTTTTTTAGCAAATCAGTGTTGCGAAACCATGTGTTTTTGTATGTTTTTCGGAAACTCGATTGCGAAATCCTTCCGGCACCGAAGGTTTTTGAAGGATTTCGGCATGCGCGCGCGACGACGCGCGCGTGTGCACTTCGTCCCATGTTTTGCAATGGATTCGTGAAAAAGTGCTATGTTAGAACAAAAAATGTCACCGCATAGTGTTTTTTACAAGGGAACCGCAGGGGGGGGGGATACCGGCTTGGCTGGGATAATATGAATTCATATTTAGGATGGACATGTGGTCAGAATCGTATGTAATTTACAGCACGCGCGGGGGGGCCGATAAGTCCGGGGGGGGGGGTAGAATCTATTAGTCTTTCAGAAAGGAGAATGTATGTGGTGCAATATCTGCGGTGCAACGTATTTGGTGCAACATATGTGTTGCGATCTGTGCTGTGACATCTATGTGGTGCAATCCACTTCGACTGTCTTGAAGCTGTCCTCTCCACTGCTCGTGCAAACATCCCACCCTCCCACCCGCAACTTGGTCGCAAGACATCTTCAGACAAGACCGTGACGGTAGGTACTGCGTGGCACTTGGCCACGACACCGATGCCGACGACGACAGCGACATCGACGACGACGGCGCCGCCGACAGCGACTGCGACGACACCGACGACGTCTCCAATGTTTTCGACGACGACAACGACGACGACGACACCGACGACGACGACAACGACGCCGACGACGACGACGAAGACGACGACGACGTCGCCAACGGAGACGACGACGAGGGAGGAGAAAAAACGACGACGGCGACAACGACGACAACGACGATGGAGGAGGGAAGACGGCGACGACGCCAACGACGAAGAAGGAGGAAGGACGGCGACGCCGACGACGACAACGACGAGGGAGGAGGGAAGACGACGACGATGACAACGACGACGAAGACGACGACGACGGCGACGAAATAGGAGGGACGACGACGAGACGCCGACGACGTACGACGACGACGAGGGAGGAGGATAACGACGAGGGAGGAGTGAAGACCACGACGACGACGACGACGAAGACGACGGCGACGAAATAGGAGGGACAACGACGAGACGCCGACGAAGACAACGAGGGAGGCAGGACGACCACGGCGACAACGACGACGGAAACGACGACGACGCCAAAGACGACGAGGAAAGACAGAAGACGACGACGGCGACGACGACGACGACGACGAGGGGGGAGGGAGGACGACGACGACGACGACGCAAAAGCGCGCGCGCACAATTTTGTTGAAAACCCGTGTTGCGAAACCTTAGGTTCTTGTAAGTTCTTTGGACGCACGATTTTGAAATCCTTCCGAAACCGAAGGTTTTTGAAGGATTTCGGCATACGCCCGCGACGACGCGCGCGTCTGCACTTCGTCCCTTTTTTTGCAGAGGATTCTCGCGACGGCACACGCGCAAGAGCGTTCGACAGATTTCGACATGCGCGCGCGCGAAGCCCGTTTGGTAGCATTTTGTGAAAATCTTGGAAAACCTATGGTTTTCTTGAGATTTCGCAAGGCCTCACGCGGAAGTTTTTTTAGCAAATCAGTGTTGCGAAACCATGTGTTTTTGTATGTTTTTCGGAAACTCGATTGCGAAATCCTTCCGGCACCGAAGGTTTTTGAAGGATTTCGGCATGCGCGCGCGACGACGCGCGCGTGTGCACTTCGTCCCATGTTTTGCAATGGATTCGTGAAAAAGTGCTATGTTAGAACAAAACTTACAAGGGACCCGCAGTGGGGGGGATACCGGCTTGGCTGGGATAGTATGAATTCATATTTAGGATGGACATGTGGTCAGAATCATATGTAATTTACAGCACGCGCGGGGGGGCCGATAAGTCCCGGGGGGGGGTAGAATCTATTAGTCTTTTAGAAAGGAGAATCTAGGTCGTGCGACCGAGGTTGTGCAACCTCTGTGGTGCGCTCTATGTTGAGACACCGATGTTGTGCCATATATGTCGTGCGATGAATGCTGTGCAATCTATGCACTCTATGTGGAGCGAACTACGTGTAACATCTGCGGTGCAACAAATTTGGTGCACTATGTGTCGTGCGATCTATATTGTGCAATCTCTGTGGTGCAGTCTAAATGGCGCGATCTATGTTGTGCAATATATGTGGTTCAATCCATGTGGAGCAATAGATGCGGTGCAATCTACGTCATGCAGAATATGTGGAACAATCTACGCGGTGCTATCGATGAGAGGCGGTGACGGGGCGGCGACAACGGCGACGGGGCGGCGACGGCGAGCACGGAGCCACCAGACGACAACCAGACCCACGCGGCGGGCGGCGACGAGGCGTCGGCGACGGCGAGCACGGAGCCGTCAGACCGACCCCCCCCCCCCCCGAGACGACGGGCAACGACGAGGCGGCGACGGAATGGCGACGGCGAGCACGGAACCGCCAGACCGACAGCCCCCCCCCCCCCGGACAACGGGCAGCGACGAGACGGCGACGTG